CTACTGTCCGTCGATATTAGACGATATGTTCCTCCGTTCTGTGGTCTAATGTCCAAGAGGCGAGATGGCGCCCAGCGGTCGAAGTGCTGCCGGCACATCGGGTGCGTCTCCAAGCAGATGTTCATCCACCGAGTGGCTACAGCCAGAGCTGGCCAGGAGCCTGTAGATGTTGAAGGAGCAATAGCCCGGCGCTCGGAGGTTGGCTCCTCGGCTGTGTGGTTTTTAGAATGCCCTTGCAAATATGCTACATGAAGAGGTGTCAACCTACTTGAAACGAAAATCCAACTAGTCGCGCTGATATGCGGAGGGCAATCGATGTTCGGGGAAAGGTGCGAGTGCATGAGCTCCATATCACCAGGCCGTCGGTAGTCTCGCGTGATGTCATAAGACAGACCTACAATCGATGCATTGCAATCGTCTTCCGAGGAGACATATCCGAACAACGAAAACGCTCCTCTGACAGTTTTAAAAGGTATCACGTGAGCCTCCTGAGCCAGAGAGTGCCTAAGACTCACCCACTTCTTCTCTGGGAGTTGATCCCATAGATGTCGGCATAGTACACAATCTTGCTTCACGGCGGCCACGAAGTCGTCTAACGTATTATGATGCCCAGTTTTGAAGTAGCCAGCTACTCCATATGTTTCGTTTGCGTGTTCAGGAAGAGAGCGCCCGAGAACCATTTGGCAGGTGTTGCAAAGGTTTGCGCTGTCGTGTATGATTGTTCTCGGCAGTCTAAAATCTGGCCCAAACAAGTTTGTGGCGCTTCGCGCCAATCTGAGCGACCCACCTTCGTCCATATTACTGCAAAGGCTCGGTCTTAATATGAAGATTCGAGAAGTCCGAAGGGAAAACGTGTGGCATGCTTTGACAAGGCTGAGCGCTCAGCCCGGCAGTGCAAGCTTTTCGCGCAGCTGAGCCCATGGGCAAGGACAACGTGCCATTCCACACTGTCGTTTTCCCGTGCTCGCAGCTCGGCACGGGAGACAAGTGGACTATGCTCAACCATATCAGCACGACTGAATATCTCAACTACGAGGGCGGCAAGTTCTCAAAGAGCAGAGGTATCGGTGTCTTCGGCAACTCGGCGAAGGAAATCGGCATCGCTGCGGATGTTTGGCGTTACTTCTTATTGCTTAGAAGACCAGAGACGAGCGACACCGAGTTCGAGTGGGATGGCTTCATTGCAGCCAACAACAACGAGCTTGTCGCCAATTTCGGCAACTTTGTCAACCGAGTACTCAAGTTCGTGAACTCAGAAAAGACTTATGATTCAATTATCCCAGCTTTACCAGCGTCCGACAGCGCAGAGTCTACGACCATCAACAGCAAGCGGAAACAACACCTGGAGGAGGCGGACACGATCCTAAGAACGTATCGCGAGCAGATGGATGCTGTGCACTTAAAATCTGGTCTTATCTCAGCCCGCGAACTCTCTTCGCTTGGCAACAAACTCCTCCAAGACAACCGCCTCGACAACAGCCTCTTCAACAACGACCGTAAACTCTGCGATGCAATCGTAGTTCTAGCAATTAACCACGTCCATCTTCTCGCCTCAGTCATCGCGCCTTATCTCCCGGCAACAACGCGCAGCATCCTGAAACAACTAAACGCGAACCTGCTCATCATTCCAGATGAGTGGCAAGCCGAGTCCGTCCAAGGGGGCCATAAAATTGGCAAGGCGGAGCATCTGTTCAAACTCATTAAGCCAGAGAAGGAGCTAGAGTGGCGCGAACAATTTGGAGGGCAGGAGTTGAAGAAGGTGAAGGAGGCAGAAGCGGCGAAGAAGACTGCTAGGAAAGCGGAAAAGGATCGCAAGAAAGCTGCAAAGAAGAAGGGTGTTGAACATGCTGAGATGGAGGGCGCACAGAGCACCCCGAGTGTCGACGATGCGGTGGAGGAGCTTACGGAGGGTGTTCGACAGACGGCTTTGCAGACAAGTTAGATGAACTGGGCATTGAGTGGACGATAGATATGCGTGAACTCCGGAGTCATGTATTGAGGGGTGCTTTGCTGTCTGGGAAGCGAGGCGTTCAAGAGACGGACTGGATCGGAAAATGATGCTTGATGTAGAGCGAACAGGTTACGAAGATTTTCTATGTTCATCAGTGTACGAGCGATATCCTCGTGAGCGAAAGTTCTGAATAGTTCCCAAAGGATGGACAAGTCCTGCAGTGAATGACATTTGGTGACTTCTGATATGGCTCTCTAGCCACGTCGACTTAGAGTCTAGATATTCGTCAAGCGTGGAGGCTGTTGAAGCCTCAAGTAAATTTAGAAACTGTGTTGAAACATACCGCAGCCCAATCACTTCTCCTCCAGAACACTATCGACCATCTTCGGAGTTCCCTCGTTGCTAGAGTCGGAATTCTTTCTCTTTTCCAGGAGACCCTCGATATGCGAATTCAACCAGTACTTGCTCAGTGCACTATCATCCAGGGACTTAGCACCGCTTACGGACCCGAGGCAGCGTTTGGTACCACACTGGCATTGGAAAGGCTGTTCCATGCTCCATTCTGTGCTTGGGTAGAAGAAGGTGATGTCGTCTCCCTCCTTCAACGACTTGTTCTCGACAACTCGAACTACGAAGTTTTTCGTGTCGAAGACAACGCTCGGATCGCAGGAATGATTGCAATAGACCAGATCGCTGTTCAGATCAATATCTTGATCTTCACTAACTTGCACCGTCGTGTAGTTCCGTCCAGAAGCTCGCTTTGAACCTTCGATATTGGTGAGAAGTGCCCCAGGCTCGCGATCAACCAGGGAAACCAATTTGCTGGAGTAATCGCCTTGGCCATGAACAACTTTGACCAGCTCGGCTAATGGTGTAGTCATCGTTGCTTTTATTCGTGTGCTGGTCTAGATAAGTAGACCCTTGAGAAGGAGGCAAAAGAATGATGGAATAAAGTACATGTGATTCCCCTTGTAGTCTTTGGAATGGGACGAAGTGGTCGGAATGACTACGAGGCGAAAGAAGTTCAAAAGGGAGTTCAAGCAGTTCTTTAAAGGCTCCTACTTGCTGTTCAACGTAAAGTGGATCTCGGTTAGCTTTTCCCTAGCAAGTTTCCAAGGCACGAATTGGCAGACAGTTCGGCCAAAGGGACACTGTCTGTCCAAAACAAAGTTATCAGGGTGAGAGTCCAGTGTGCCAAGAGCTGCAGTTAAGATTGGAGCCATGACAGGTTACACAAGTTCGGCAGAAGTGGTCCGGAAAGAACCGTGGAGCCTCGGAGATGCGATGTGTGATCTCGACCTCCCGAGACTTTTCCGCATCTATTCCCCACGGGGAATTGGCAGATGCATAGGATGTCATGGGAATATTAAATCGGATATCATTCAAGCTTTTGCGCTTCAGATAGGGTGTCTTTTTCAGGATGCAGGTACGAGAACGAATCCATTTTCCCGGGACAGCGTATTGTAGCCTCATAGTACTTACTAACATAAGATTGTTCAAGCTTGTAGGGAATGTTAGATTAGCTTGACGGCTCTCACACCCTTTCCAGCATTCGTGATAATATATTGTCTTTCTCTTCGGCAAACTACTACATGATGCTGCAACTCCATCCCTCTGTTTTGCCACCTTTCTCGGTTGTAGTCAAAGCAGCTGTCCTAGCGATATCTTCGAAGACTTCGTGGCAGAGCTATCTCACAAGTAAGCATTTCCCCTCTCCCTGAGAGGCTCGGTCATTTGACAGAAGACAAGTAGATATCAAAAGGTACTCACATCTCCAGTAACCGCACTACATTCGCAATACCGATCACACCTCATCTCCTGCGCTACTCGAAGAGCTTCTTGAGGATAGACTATTCGTCGGCCATTCAAGACATCAGTCTCGCCCATGCCTCCAAGGTTCATCCGTCTTACTTTGCCGTCATAATCTTCTTTTTGTCGTGCGTCCCTCGTCAGACCGAGCAATATGACCGGCAAGTTCTCATCGTAATTGAAATGCGTCTCAACCAGCGTCTTCCAGTGGTCCTGTATATTTTGTAGAGTCTCCGGCATAGCGATAGAATAGCATAAAATAATTACGGAAGGTCGAAGCAGAGTGTAATTTGTTGGAGATGCGGTGTCGTAGATTAGGAATCGATAGGGACGGTTGTACATGCTGATATTGAATGAAAATGGCTGGTCGCCATCTCGAAGCAAGGGGAGTTCATCTGCTTTGATGCTTACTCCCTGAGAGCCGAGAGTTAAACGGCTGATAGAAAAAGTGTGAGCGAGTGCAGGGAGAAATGAAATCGGAGCAAGAGGAAACGCAATACGTACGATAAGAAAGTTGTTTTACCTACTCCGGGATCCCCCAATAGTAGGATAGGCACTTCCGGAATATAGGCTGTACTAATTTCCATTTCGCTTGTCGAGCGTGCTCACATGATTAGACCTTCCAATTGCTGGAGAATTATAAGGCGAAAAGGAGAAGTCAACGGTGCTTAGATGGCTGCAGTTCGGGCACGTTCTCGATGCTAGCAAAGCTGAAGCACGGCGATGAATGAGACCGTCCTCTGCACCTTCGATCGTTCCTTGGGGGTTCTACGATGCATAGGAAGTGGAATATCGTGTATTCAAGGGAAAAAGTTCGCGAGTCTCAGACTTCTGAGTAGTTTTGAGGATTCTCAATATATGGGCCGCCCGCTCCCCTTTCGGGATACTTTCCTGATTCTGAACCCCACCACAACCCACAGTCACTGCGCAAGGAAAACTTCAATGAGCTTCTTGCTGTCTTTTGTTTGAGAATCATGATGACCCAAACCTTGCGAGCGAGCTCTTACATCATCTTCGGGTCATGGAACTTACATGACAATATCCAGAACAATGGCGAAAAAGGCGCATTAACAGAACATTCTTGAGAAGAAGCGCCTAGACTCGTTGTGGAACTCTCCACTTCCTACATCTCCTTCTTAACATAACCCCTTCGATAAACATGGTTCGCAACATAGTCGTATTCTCCGGCTCCTCTCACCCTCGACTCACCGAAACCATCTGCACCCATCTCGGCATTCCACCAGGCCAGATTCACCTCTCCAAATTCAGCGTCGGCGAGACACAAGTCGAAGTTGGTGACAGCGTACGCGAGAAAGATGTCTTCATCGTGCAGAGTGGAGGCGGGAAGGTCAATGATCACTTAATGGAGCTCTTAATCACCATCCAAGCATGCAAGACAGCCAGTGCAAAGAGAGTAACTGCGGTGCTTCCATTATTTCCCTACAGCAGACAAGCGGACCTCCCGTATAACAAGCTTGGAGCACCATTAGCAAGAACGCCTGCCAAAGTAGTCGGAGGGCAAGGAGAGAGCTATACATTCGATAGCAGGCCTGGAACACCGCAACCTGACACTCCAGCGAATGGCGCCAACAACGGTAGTAGCTCAAATTCAAAAAGCTTGCACAAGCAGCTGAATGGACTAAGTATTACAAAGTCTAATGGTGAATCGAAGACTCGAAAGCGGAACGACACACTGGATAGTGTTCAGTCAGACGTCTCCGTTACGAGTTCGGCTGGCGGCTCCTACTTTGAAACCCAACAACGAAATCCTACATCTTCACCACCGCCCGGTCCGACCTCGAACGCCGCGAACACGAACGTACCTCCTGAATTCAAACCACAGCGCGGCTATCGGCAGTGGGTTGCACAAGCTGGCACACTAGTGGCGGACCTCTTGACATGTGCTGGAGCTGACCATGTTATCACCATGGACCTGCACGATCCGCAATATCAAGGCTTCTTCGACATACCTGTGGACAACCTCTACGGCAGACACTTACTGCGCAAGTACATCCAGCATCAGATCTTGCCTAAGCATGGTGGAGTGGAGGGATGCGTGATAGTGAGTCCGGATGCTGGGGGAGCGAAACGTGCGACGAATATTGCGGATGCGTTGGGCATGGATTTTGCTTTGATTCACAAGGTACAAACAAATTTCTCAGGGCAGTTCGATCGTAGCACTAACATCTATACTTAGGAACGCCGCCCGACCCAACTCTCCGACCGCCAGAACGCCACACTTCTCCTAGTTGGTTCAGTCGCGAACCGTTGCGCAATCTTAATTGACGATCTGGCCGATACCTGCAACACCATCACTCGCGCCGCCAAACTTGTTAAAAAGTCCGGCGCCTCCTGCGTCTACGCTTTGGTGACACACGGAGTCTTCTCGGGCGACGCGGTGGATCGGATTAACTCTAGCTGTCTGGATAAAGTGGTCGTGACCAATAGCGTGCCGCAGGATGAGCACCTGGCGCGATGCGAGAAGCTGGAGGTGCTGGAGGTTGGGAATGTTTTCGCGGAGGCGATAAGAAGGGTGCATCATGGGGAGAGCATTAGCGTGTTGTTTCAGTACGATTGAGAGTGCTGCGTATAGAACAATTCCAGGGAGTAATGGGTGGAGTTCTGGTGATGTAGTGCATCCGGGTATGTAGCGGAGGCGAGGTCAGGGGGCGTCCAGATCCGTATACGATACCCATGACGGAAGAAGATGCAAATCTAACTGAACAACAGTACGACAATGGCCATTAGCAGACTGATAATTTGCCGTTCTAGTTGTTGACGTGAAGTCTAAGAACGTCGAATATCAATCTCAAGTTACTGATTGTCTATGAGGGCTACAACCCTCCCATCGTTAAGCTATTCGATACAGAACAGACGCTTTCCAGTGTCTTCATCGTAGCTAATACAGGGACACGATGGATCGCCTCGACCATTCGCAGACGGTTTATATCTCGAATCACCCATCAACGCTGCGAAACCAATGCGCCTATATAGACCACCGTTGTTAGCCTTGGACTCCAGCAAGATCAAGTATTGATCGCTGTACTCGGCTTCGACGCTGGAAAGAACATTGCAGCAACAAGACAGAAATGTTCCTCGCCCAGACTGCGCGCCGGCAGATTAGTCTTGGTGTAGTCAGGGTAAACTACGGCATCGACCTTTTTATCTTGCGAAAAGATAGACCATCTCACGCCATCGCCTGAGGAGTAATATTTCAGTTGTCTCAGCTGAATGGGCACTAGAGGCCCTTCAAGAAAAAGCTGTCCTTGGATATGACCTAAGGTTCCATGTTGAAGTCGGACATCGTGAATGTCGTAATGGAACTGAGAATACAGGTATTCAGACTTGGGTATGGTGACTGGTGAGTTCAAAGACAACCAAGAGAAGCTCGGGACTTGGTTCTTGCCTTCTTCCACATCATCTGCATCTTTCGAGAGAGAGCATGTCCAGAGGAGTCCCGACTGTAGACGACTCTTCCACATCCCTACCACGTACTCGTCTTGTAACGCTTGCTCGAATTTCTTGGCGAGTCCGGCGATTGCCATTGCTCGGTCGCCGGAGAATGTCAAATGAGCTTTCGAGTACTGCGCTACTATATCATACCAGAACGAATATATTGAAGCGAGGAAATTCTTGTCTTGGCAATGTCGATAGTGGTCCGACAAAAGTTCAAAGTCTCCCAATCGCCACCCAAGGTGCATGTTCGCTGGAAACCCGTAAGGGTACGACTCGGACGCTGTTATCTCGCCACACTCCCACATCACTTCACGATTGGTAAAGTGAAGCACTCGCGATGCGAGGAGGCGCTCTTGCAAGACTCAAGCGCGCTCATTGAGTGGTGCACCATCGATGTCTCCGAATGTAGTACCGTATCGAACGATGTCGTAGGGACTTTTCCGGAAGAGGCTCTGATCTGATGTCTGTTGGAAAACATGTCGTCTCACAGTTGAAGGCTCTCGGTCTCTAAACAGACCCTCGCTTGTGTGCGTTAATGCAGTAGCCGCGAGATTGCAAAGGGCATTTGAATAAATCTTCTCCATCTGTAGAGATTCTGATATCCAATCCCCTTTATTTCGGGGGTCTTGCATGATGCATCTAAATCAACAGGCGCAAGTATCAGCGTGTGTTCCAGATAGTGGCTGCGTGTACTTTCTGGAGTATCTCAGGTCGAATGCTCAAGCTAAATATCAGGCTGACTCACAAGCTATCGATCCATAGGTAAGGAACAGACGTAACTCGACACACTATGATAGCATCCCGAAATGTTTTGGGTAGTTCTGCTATGGGACAACCTGATAGAAGCCTCGAATGCGTATCTCGAGTCAATTTTGGTACGCTACCGCTGCCCTAACAGTGGCCTAGAATTCGAAGGGTACAACGGTTACCATATGTTCAAACTTGCCATGTATGTCGGGCTAGAGTGAACCCTTTCACCTTCAACGACA